CGATCTGCACGAAACTGGGTGAACATAATCTAGGGACCAATATCTAAAGTTCCCTCTTGGCAAAAGTTGGAAAACTTACTAAAACTGAGCTTCTACAAGGCAATGAATATTGCGGAGGGCGTGGCTCATCACATAAAGGTGTATAACATCTCAAGGGTTTCACCCATCACCACGCAACTTTGTAGGCATATGACCACACATAACCTTAGGGGACCCCTCCATTATTGACCCAATCAAACAAAATGGGGGCGCTGGAGAGCTAATTTCTTATCTAGGCCTAACCGCCATATCAGTTTTTACTAAACTTTCTGGAGAAATTGAACTCTAATTGGTAACTGGGAGCACCACCAAGACAGACATGTAATAGTGGTGACTGTGAAATTATATTAATTAAAGAAAGTATGTTAACCTCACTTGTTTATATGTTACAGCTCTAATCTCTGAAATATTTGTCATTAACACACAAATATATTATTACATTTTATGCAGGATGGTGAAGAAGAGGCCGTAAACTATGCAGCACTGGAGTTTTCTACAAGGAAAGTGAAAAGAGGAAAGAGGAAGATTGAAAACACACCACAGTGTGTGTACTCTTTTGTAAAAGCAGATTACCACAACCAGCAACACCCCTCTCTGTAGACAAATCCGATGGCCGCTTTGTGTGTTCTGTGCTGCTATTACTGCAGTGGCGAATTTGAAGTGACTCAGTGTCTGCTCCTGCCTGCTAACAGCCACCATGTTAGCTGGTGACTTTCAGCAGAATGTGTCTGTGGTTGCACGAAGTAACTTGCGTAAATGGTTGGCATAGATAATGAACACATTTGAGTATGTACTGAAAACTGATTAAAGTAAGATTCTAATTATGAGTACACCTACATGTTGTCAACAGCTGCTACTATGAGCAACCACGACGTATTTGGATGAGACACCAGTTAGCACGGTCACTTATTACACTGAAACATCAGACACCATTGTACAGATCTGTTTGTGATGTCAACAGAATGATGTTACCTTTGTGGTCATTGACGACTTAGAGTGACTAATGATGTTTTTCACACTAACGTCACAGTTAGCTGACTGCATTAATTTATTATGTGGGACCACTGCAGCTCCGAGACAGTGTCTTAGCCCATTTATGTTAGCTCAGTAAGCAGAGTTTTTCCCAAGGTTTTCCACTAATGTTGGAGCAGCTGAAAGCCTATATACTGATCTTCAGCTCAGTTCACACATAGCTTTTTATTCCCAACTGCCACCCATCCATATAAACATGTATAAGTTTGCACTCAACAAATTTTGTGGGACATCATCAGATTTTCAGTTGCTTTGTTAATGTGTTGCCACAGTTCACATATGTGCCTGTATTTTAGTAAAAGACCATCATGACATGTATGTGGACTTCTGTTTGCTTCTGTTGTTTTGTTGACACAAGAATATGGCACAAGATATTTATATTGTCTTCTCATATGGAGTGACTGCATCTTCATTCATCATAAATACAACAATATACCTGTAAAGTTGTTAAGGTTAGAAACTTGATAAATTCTGTTTGTGTCTTTTGGATTGATTTCAGTGATTCTTGATGACCAACACAGATTGATGTTAGAAAGCAGTGTGTTTTATTTATTGACATAGTTTAACAGAGTTACAAATCAGGTTCAAGAGTAGTTACACAAGCACAACAACAAAACTAAATGAAAACAAAAACAGATCTGATCCACCTAATATATCTGTGCCAACACTGATCCATTGGAAAATTCCATATTTACAGTTACAGTTACAGTTAAAAAATTATTTGAGTAATGTCCATGTTAACTGACACCTACAGCAGTTTCTTTCTTTAGGGCCAGTGTCCACATGGCCACATTCACTCCCAGCATTTTTTATTTATTTTTTTTAAATGATGTGCTGCCAGATGTGCAGCTTTTTCTGAAGGTGGGGTCTCAAAAAATGGGCTGCACATGGACACCCACATAGGCATCTGGCAGACCCTCATAGACAGGGTTGAATGGTGACATTTACCTTATCAAAGTGGACCAAAGCGGGCCTTTGCAGACACCTGCATGCACATCATTACCTAATAGCCACATATAACAAACCCTTCAGCTCATAACAGACCAACAGTAATTAGATCACACAGTACCAGCTGGCAAACAGACCTGTGACCTCACTAATCCAACCCAAAAGCCTTGACAGCAGCGTAGATCCTCTGTCTCTCTGCTGCTCTTGAATCCTTTATTGCACCACTGCCAGTTTTCATCACGGTGAAGACGACAGCAGAATAAACCTGTGTGTCCTCATCTTTCTGAGGAAATACATGACAAAGTTAAAAAAAGACCCACAACTGTTTCAATAAGGTTGATCCTACTGAACCGTTACATTCTTTACCTGTTGACTTTTCTGACCACGAAGGTTTCTCTGCACAGCAACAGCATCTGAAATTATTAAATAGAAAACATAAAGATAATAATAAATACAAATTCAGTAGTTTTTATACAGTATTGTTGGATAGAGAGCTAACTAATAACTTCTATTACCGTCGCCACAATCAGACTTGTTTTTCTTGATGGTGTAAACAAGGACAGCTATGACAGTCAGACTTATAGCCAAGACAGCACACAGCAGAAAAATAAGTGCATCTGCATTCTGTGAGCACGTACTGGTTCCTGAAACATCAAAAGGAAATATAGTGAATTCAAGGGTGGTTAATGTCACCAAAGAAAACAAAACAATTTTGCTAGTTAAATTATAAAAAAAGATTTGGCTCATTTGACAGTCTGGCACTCAAAGAAGCAAATGTCTTTATAAACAAAACAATGACACAGTTACCTTCAATTTCCACTTTAGTTCCATCTCCAAATAATATCTGTCCACATGTGGCCACAGCACAGTAGTAAGTCCCAGCATCAGAGGAGCTGACGTTCTTAGAGAAGCGATAAACACAACTCTTCTGAGTGTCAGAGTTCCTGTCACATTCATCACGTCTATTTCCATCAGTGTAGATGATGTCTGGATGAGATTTATCTGATCCGGCTCTGAACCAGAACACACTGTGATCTCCTGGACACATTTTGTTCTCAGAGTCAGAGAGGACTGAACACTGGAGAGACATCGAGGCTCCTGGACGGACTGGATCAGATACTGTCGGCCACTGAACAACAGCATAGTTTGATGTCCTCTGAGTGTTTCCTGTGTGATACAGAACTGTGTTAAAAGTTTGGCATCTCCACACATGCTTTGACATACTTAGAAGGATTTAAGATTAGTTAAAAGTTAAAATGCAAAGTAAGCATTACATACAATAATCTAAAATGATTCTCTGCAGAAATTGTTGATAAATATTAACACAGTGCAGCTTTAAGTGGTTAAAGTGATTCCAAACATTGCCATAAACAGATCACATAATTACCTTTTAATGACAAATAGGTGCCGGTCCAGGTAATCTCAGTCCACTCCATGACTGTGCAGTGATACATTCCCTCATCTTCTTGAATTGTCCTCAAAATGGTCAGACTGCTGATTTTGTTAGAAATATTTACATCCAATCTTGAGGCAGAAAACTCTGGTCCATACACAGGGTTCACATGTTTACGCAGTCTCACAATCAATTTCAGAGTCTCCCCTGCACTCTGCTTGTACCAGTAGAGTCTGTCGTTAAACTCGTCATTAGGCAAATCACACGTTAAAGTCACAGGTTCACCAAGTTGAACTGTGGTCACTGGAACCAACGTATCTGGATGAAATGAAAATACAACACATGAAACAACAAAGGACAATTTGTGCATAATGTAAAAAAAATGGAGGCTAAAAGGAAATCACATGAACAACCCTACATCTAGTTTGCATGCAGATACTCAGATTAGAAAATATTTAGTTATCGTTAGCACACTTACATCCTCGATGAAGAACAAGCAGTGTAACCCATAACAGGATCATCTTGACACTGTCTATTAACATGAGACTTGTTGGTTTTTTACTGAGTAAAAGGAGGCGGTCAACTGTCAAATGCATCTGATTGGTTGTCGCAGAATCTAGATTCAAAGTTAATTTCCTGCCACACTGGTTCTATCCTGGTCTGTGTGAATTGTGTTACCTCTCTTTCTCATCCATCACTAGACTATGAGATGTCTATGACTTTGTCTAAACTTGGAGTGTTTTTCAGGTACCAATTCTTGTAAATGCAGTAGGTTATATCCCACTGCTGTTATTACTAAATCATAAATGCCACGTCACTTCTAGTTCACTGACAGATACACACAGGGACACAAAAAAAAACTGACGCTGTGTCCCAAATTGCATACTATGCATTACATGCCCAATATGTGTTCTACTATTCAGTACTTTTGTGTACATAAACAGTAGTATGTATATTTTTAGACGCACTAAGCTGAAATTATCACAGCACTTCCCAAGAGCCTCCTTGCTTCCTTGCAACATCATGTCACAGGCAGCGAGACATTGAGGCTCCTGGACGGACTGGATCAGATACTGTCGGCCACTGAACAACAGCATAGTTTGATGTCCTCTGAGTGTTTCCTGTGTGATACAGAACTGTGTTAAAGGTTTGGCATCTCCACACAAGCTTTGACATATTACCTTTTAATGACAAATAGGTGCCACTCCAGGTAATCTCAGTCCACTCCATGACTGCACAGTGATACATTCCCTCATCTTCTTGAATCGTCCTCCAAATGCTCAGACTGCTAATACTCTTATAAACCTTCACATCCAATCTCACGGCAGAAAACTCTGGTCCATACACAGGGTTTACATGTTTACGCAGTCTCACAATTAATTTCAGAGTCTCCCCGGCACTCTGCTTGTACCAGTAGAGTCTGTCGTTAAACTCATCAGGCAAAACACAAGTTAAAGTCACAGGTTCACCAAGTTGAACTGTGGTCACTGGAACCAGCACATCTGGATTACATGAAAATACAACACATGAAACACTAAATGACAATTACTATATGATGCAGAAAGGTAATAACATGAGCAACCATACATCTAGTTTGCATGCAGATACTCAAATGAGAAAATATGTAGTTAAGATTACACAGCGCACTCACATCCTTGATGAAGAACAAGCAGTGTAACCCATAACAGGATCATCTTGACACTGTCTGTGATTTGGAAACTTGCTGGTATTTCAGTGGGTTAAGGAGGTGATGTCACATGAACACAATACTGTATGTCACACTGTCAAATGCATCTGATTGGTTATCACAGAACTTAGACTTAAAGTGCATTTCCTGCCACACTGGTCTTAGAGTGAACTTTTTGTTTCAGGGGAGATTTTGTGTTGATGAAATCTATTTCTGTGTGAAGAACTCTTTTGTTTGTATGTGGTAATAACAGTTGACATGGTGTCTGTAGCTGCTTGCTGCTGGAGAGATATAACTTCTCCTGCATTAAATCAGACAGTGGGCCCCTGGGCACAGATAGGAACATACAGTAGGAGCAAGACACAGACGGGTAATATCTGGTAAAGTTTAGCCTCTTTTTGTGTCATTGTTTTACATCTTTATGTTGTCATAATGAATCTTTTTGTGAGTCAGAGTGAAGAACAGCACACAATTCTACTAAGAAGGAAACTATAATGCTTCATATTACACCAAAATCTAATCTGGCATCCCGTCCTCTCTGATAGTTTCTGCTAGTTTAAGAAAGAACACAATACAGTTATAGAATTATAGAAATTAAGAGATGTAACAATCTTTCACCATCATTTTCTACAGTAAAGCTGATGACCTTAAAATTTCCGGGTCCTGACAACAGCAGAATCTCACTGGACAATGCTAACATAGTCATTGTGAATGATAACATGTTTTCCACCATCACAATTGGTTGTTTCAGCATGCCAACATTTTATAAGCTGAGGGCGATGTCAATAGTCTGGCAGCTTTTTGGCTTATTACCTCCACCAAGGAGGTTATGTGTTCACCGGCGTTGGTCTGTTTGTTTGTTTGTCTGCAAAATAACTCAAAAAGTTATGAACGGATTTTGATGAAATTTTCAGGAAAGGTGGATAATGGGACAAGGAACAGATGCTAAAATTTTATTGGTGATCAGTTGAAGCAAAGTGGATAAAATAATAAATGAAGTCTATGGTCTGACAGCCTCAGCAGCAATTAAGGCGGTGAAAATAGCGCCATCTGGTGGCCGGAAAGAACATCTTGTTCTACTTGCTAAATATTGTTGTAATTCTTTTTTTTTTAAGATTATGTTTTGGGCTTTTTGTCTTTAATATACAGGACAGTGTGAAATGGGGAGACAGAGAGAGTGGGGGGACGACATGCAGCAAACGGTTGCAAGCCGGAGTCGAACTCGCGACCGCTGCAGCGAGGCATCACCTCTATACATGGGGCGCCGGCACTGTCCACTAAGCTACCGACGCCCCAATATTGTTGTAATTCTAAGGTTGAAATTAATGCTCTGTATTGGAAAAAAGAAAGTGAAAAATACAAAAAACATATTATATTCTGTGTTGGTACAAAATAAAAATCAAATAAATACACCACAGTGTCTCCATTGTGAAGGCATATATAACCTAATAATGATAGTGATGCAAATAACCTAATTGTGATGCAGGCTGCAAAATCTGATGCAGAGGGGGAGGGAATATCACCTACTTGGTGGAGGTCTGAGTGCTTTTCTAGTTTAATTACAATTTATCCTGTGGGGAAAGTGACTGTGTGGACCAATTTTCATGGCAATCTGTTTTACACAACACCGTAAGTATTAACCTGCTGGTTGCACTAAATGAAAAGTCAGATTATCACCAGATTTATTCACATACACCCCCAGGGGACCATGAATGTCATGATATTTCAATCTGCATGCTGATTAGCTTGTTATTGTGTTTGGTGGCATCTCTGTTTTTGCCCTGATTGAATTAACTGCGATCTGTGACCCTTATTGGTGGAGTTCTGGATTTCGCCATGCTGCCCCCAACCTACGCTGCTTGTGGTAGGTTTCGTAGGAAGTAGAAGGAAGCTCCAGAGCCTGTTTACATCCAAAAACTGCACACTCTACCATGTTTGCTGTCAAAACTTTTGCTATGCTAATGCTAACTATGCTCTCTGGACTGATAAGTCTGCTCTGCACTGGAGGTTTCAGGTTTCTTTGCTGGTGTCGCGTCAGAGTCTGTTCTCATGTGAAAACACCTCTCTCGCAACACTTTTCACAGATACAAGTCAGTAAAGTCATAATGGAAGATAAAACATGATAAAGTGCTTTTACACTGGCCCAGTGTGTAAAAAAACATGCAGTGCAAAACCATATGCTGTACTTCTAGAAAAGGGTTTGGAACCACATGCAGGTAGTTAAATAAAGTAAAGAGGAGTTCATTATAGATGTGGATGATTATTTATTAAAAAATGACACAAGGCATGTTCACGTTCTGAACTGCAGCGATGCAAAGCTGAGGGAATGGGGAAGAAGTTTATCACCTTATATGGTATCACAGAGAAAAGAGACAGAGTTGACTCTTCTCTCGACTCTTTCAAGATGAATCCTTCAAAAAGTCACGTTAGGCAGATGCATCACCCACCTCTTTAAAAAATGTACTGATAAACTGCACAAAAACTGAAACAAAATTATTAGATATGGGATTCACAGTGATACAGGCTATCAACAAAAGCTTAGCTATTAAAGGTGGTTATTTTTCCTCATAATAAGGCAAAAACATTAAATATTTGCATAGTTTATCAAAAATATATTACTACTACTTGAAGACATGATATATTACATTATGCTATACTATGTAATACATCATGTCTTCAATAAAATGCAGAAACCAGTGCTGCTAAAGCAAAAAAATTACATTAGCCTCATTTAGCAAATTCATCGTTTAGATTAATCATATATCATAAAAGCCCTGACATCAGTGTAGATGGTCTCTTCTTGTCTTTGATTTCTTCTCCCTCCTCTGCCAGCTTTCCTCCTGGTAAAGTTTGGTGTACAATAAACCAAAGACTCCTCA